ATCTACAGGGTGGCCCATAAGTACCTACCGATCCATATTTCTTATGTAACCAGTCTATCTGTGTCTTGATGGGTAGGGACTTATGGGCCATCCTGTAGACTTTGGCAGGTCTGGCCCATATTCTGAACAAATATTTCGGTACACAATCCTAGCAACTTGGTGGTGCCTCTCAGTGTATGCTGTCAATGCTAACACCAGGCTACATGTACTGGATTTGATGTTACCTTGTTGGGTTAAGTGGTAAGATTTGTAGCATTGGTGTTTGTGATTACAGACAGGCATTGCTAGTCTCCATATTTAGAACCTTTGCTATACATTGCAAAATATCCGAGCTGTATTAAATATTATTAGTAGTAATAGTATTATGTGTGGATATATAGACAGTCAAATTTATCTTAAAGTTACTATGAAATTATGGTTTATTTAGTTTTTAGTAAGTTATATATATTTATATATCATAGATATTTATATTGTCTTATATATGAGAAAGCAAGTTACTATAATCTATTGCAGAATGTGATTTGAATCTTACATTGTAAGTAAATAGGTTGCACAGTAACCCCTTACTACAAAGTGGATAATCATAATTTTTTTCTCCTTAAAGAAAGGAACATCATTTTATTTCATCCTTGAAAAACTCAAGGGGAGGGGTGATGATATTTTCAAAACACTAAGTGTATTTGCAAAAAGAATACAGTCAGCGATAACATATGTTATATATGGGATATGAAGAGACACAGTCCCTGCACTGACAAAGAGATTGCATTTATAACAAGATAAGTTATTTTTTGTCCTTTTTTTAATATTTGTATTCCACTGTTCCACTATTGGGACTGCAAAAAAAAAAGTTGAAGTAATTTTTGCCTTCACCCATAGTCTTGTTTTGTGTAAATTGCATTCTATGTGTACGTCTTTAGTGCATTGAACTCTAGGGGTGAAAAAATACTGTTTTTTGGTTTGTTTGTTCCCTATATATTATGTTTAGCTTATAGTCCATCTCCATAGTACAATGCACAGGGGTTTATGAACACACACAGTTTCTTTTGTCCGTCCCCCAGCTCCCATTGTTGGTGTCTGTTCGTAGATTGTATCTGGTGCGTAGACAGCGCTGATTGACTTTAGCTCTGAGTCCAAACTGGTTTTTCTGTTAGTTTCAGAAATCTTGGCACCCCCAAACCTCAAGATGCTGAATATGGAAGTTCTCTTCACAGAGAGGGGGGTTATCAAAAGTTTCACAGTGCTCGGTTCTTCCAATGTTCAAGTCGGCATCAATGTTCAAGGCCTGTCCGCCCCCACCACCTAAAAAATAGGTGTTTGGTGAAATATCAAAAATCTCTTGAGCATTTGCAGTTAAAGGAACATACTTCATATAAAACATGTTTGTAAAATATAGAAAAAAATAAGTAAGAATAATATTAAATTTCAGAAAAGTGACATTGCTTTTAAGGGGAACTTATGATAATTGGTTATGTGGACTATAACTCCTATCACACTCAGCCAGGAGAACATTAAGGGATAGTCAGAGTTTGGGAGGTTGGGGGTTTACCTTTTCCAATAAATATGTTTAAAAACACATTACTGTTAGAAGCATTGTTGCACAGACAGACACAGCAAAATTCTGGATCTCCTGAAAGAGTGGGCCATTAAGATGGAAAAGAGCGACACAGGTATGTGTGCCTAAAATAATGACTGTCTCTCCTATATAGGGACATTTGGGCGGTATGCAGTCCAGTTTCTGAATATGGTGTTTAGTTTATGGGAGACTTTGGTGCAATTGTATCTAAAAGAGAGAATTTAAGCCATTTTTGAAGTCTTACCAATGATTATGCCTTGATTGTTCCCAGACATGAACATGGAGGCTGTTTTAGATGGTAGCTGGAAGTGACGAACAGACAGGAATGGAGAGAGGCGTGCTGGGGCTGCTTCTATTGGCACAGCAAGGAAGTTGGACAGCTGAGAGGGGCTGCTGGGAGCTGAAGACAATTGTGGAGATGATGGGTGATGCAATGGAGGTGCAAGACGGGATCCATGAGAATAGGAACGCGGTCTGGAACGCGGAGAAGGGGGGGCTGCCATTCCCATTTCTGGCTTTTTTACTACCACCCACTCATACCTCTCCATCTCTGGCCGTACCTACAGATGGGTTAATAAAAGGAATTAGATTTGAAGGGACACTATAGTCACCTGGACAACTTTAGCTTAATGAAGCAGTTTTGGTATATAGACCATGCCCCTGCAGCCTCACCGCTCAATCCTCTGCCATTTAGGAGTTAAATCCCTTTGTTTATGAACCCTAGTCACACCTCCCTGCATGTGACTTGCACAGCCTTCCATAAACACTTCCTGTAAAGAGAGTCCTATTTGGGCTTTCTTTATTGCAAGTTCTGTTTAATTAAGATTTTTTTATCCCCTGCTATGTTAATAGCTTGCTAGACCCTGCAAGAGCCTCCTGTATGTGATTAAAGTTCAATTTAGAGATTGAGATACAATTATTTAAGGTAAATTACATCTGTCTGAAAGTGAAACCAGTTTTTTTTTTTCATGCAGGCTCTGTCAGTCATAGCCAGGGGAGGTGTGGCTAGGGCTGCATAAACAGAAACAAAGTGATTTAACTCCTAAGTGACAGTGAATTGAGCAGTGAAATTGCAGGGGAATGATCTATACACTAAAACTGCTTTATTTAGCTAAAGTAATTTAGGTGACTATAGTGTTCCTTTAAAGACAAGTACAAATACTCATAACAAATAAATCATAAAGTAAAAGGACCACAGGTGTATCATGGGTGTTTTAGTTCTTTAAAATTTAAATATTTAACTTTGTGAAGCATAAAAATAACATACCGAGAACTATAACCACTTTAACTTGCTGTAATGGTTATGGTGCCCGGAGTGCCCTGGTGCTCTCTATTGTATGTAGTCAGATGATCCCTGGGATCCGTGGGGCACCGTTCCCTGCCTCCACTCCTACTGCCGGAGAACTGTAGGTTCCTAAGCGGGATCTTCTGTTAGCATCCCTCAGCTAAGCCCTGCAGTGCAGCACTTAGCTCATTGGCTGAAAACATCAACTGATTATTCAACAACAATCTGACTACAGTGGGAAGGCACCAGGCCACTCCTGGCACCATAACCACCACAGCAAACTGCAGTAGTTACAGTGCTTGAATTCAATTGTAAAATATTTGCTCAGATAGGCTGAAAAAAACTGGCAAGTATTGCCTAAAATATTCAAAACCAGCTTTAGTATTCCTGCTTGAATGAATGCTTGATATGAATTTTAGGCAGGTTCAATCTGCTTCCTACCAGGACAATATAGGACATGGCAAGACTGAGACTGGCAGTAATAGTCAGGGTCAGACTGGTTTCGGGTGAGAAGGACATATTTCTCCAGTTCTCAAGGACAATATGGTTTGGGATATGACCCGATACAAGTTAGCACTGTGAGCCACAAAAGAGACTAGAAACATTAACTGTTGCTGCTGTTGTAGTTTCTGTAAAAAGAATGTGATTGACATTCGACATGATTACTGTCTGTGATGTTTTCAGATACTGTCTTGGGCTGGATGCTATTATAAGAGATAATCTTGTATCTGATACTTAGATAGCAGTTTGGACACAGATGTCAATAGAAGACCTGCTATTCAGTTAAAGCGACAGAGTTTAAAAGGCACTTTTGCTTTTGAGTATTTTACACAATACAAGATACAACCTTTATGAGTCTTTCGGATTGAGTGCATTGTAATTCAGCACTTTCCATGTCACATTAGGATGTCAGTGGTTACATTACAAAATAGTCAAAGAACAGTAAGTGTATTCCAGACAGAGGCATTACTGATAGAAACAGCTGGGTGAGGTTGATGTAAAGATACGTCAATATTTCTTAACTGTTTCATTGCCATGCTATTCACAAAAAAAATCATGATTAGTGAAATGATGCTGAAAAAGAGACTTAGTAGAAAATATAAAAAGAGAAGGATTTGTGTGTGTTTAGGATTTTGTGTAGTTTTGTGTAGTTGTTTTAAGTTGTTGCTCCCTCCCCCCCCCCCGCCACTTGAAGAATTTACCGTAAACACAAAACATTCTCCCGTGCCAAAAAAGGTGGCCACTTGCCCGCAGCATTTCCTTCTTTCACTCCAGTCCGTAGAGAGAAAGGCACCACAAACCTGCAAGAAATAAATAAATCACTTTAAACATCCTCTCCATTAAAGGGTTTATATGCATAGATCTGCCCTCCAGTTGAGGTGGTAAAATCTACTTTAAGAGAGCAATATTTTTGGACTAGAGTTTATACTGCCGGGAGGACAAGGCCAAATTGTTTCTTAAAGGGACACTCCGTACCCCTAAAGCACTTTTGAAGTTCTTTATGTGTGAATAGTGTGTCAAGTACATCTACATGGATATTGCAGTAATTCAGCCTAGGCTCTGTTTAAATGGATGCCATGGGGTATTTTCAATCCACAGCTGGGAAGGGGAAATTGGACGGTGGCAGGAGGCATTTTCTCCTTTTCCCCAGTTGACAAGCTTTCAAGATTAGCGACCGGTAGTGTCACAGTTTCATCCTTCTACTGGGCAGACCAGTCTTGTTTTGGACTTGATTTTTGAAAGAATGATGCATACCTCATTTGCCGTGGTCTTTATCAATAGAACGGTGGGCTCCGATCCTTCACATTGTGAATAAAACCTGTCAGGAAAGGCATAAGGTTATTTTTTGTTATTTTAACTGAAAGAAGCCAGAAAAAATATTGAAATAGTTTACTGTTACGCATAGCCAAGTAAATCAATTTTAATAAACATTCTAAGATTCAAATGATTGGATCATACAATACTATGTATGACTTTTTTCTCAGCAATCTATAAATTAAGAATAAATTGCATTATGCCGAGAACACAACTCCTTTACCTTTGCAGACTGTAGCCGTGCTCCATCGTAGAAAATAAGAGTACAGGTGGGTACAATGAGAACCTCGATGGGATCCAGGACCAGACCACCCTCATCTCTTGGGCTGTGACAATTTCAGAGCTGAAATTCGCCATGTCGACTGACATGTAGGCGGGCTGCCTGTTGAAGGAGCAGAGGCACCGATTACAAAACAATTGCCACATTATTTACTGTAATCAGCCTCACTGGACTGCAGTAAGTAACCATTTATCATTGAGAGATATTGTGACCTTACAGTCCACCCAGTGCTGCTATGAAACTCAAGTAATTGGATACTACAACAGCAGTGTCAAACGTGTCTACTCGGAGTTCTGAACTGCTCTCATAATTCCCTGTCAATCCATGGTAATCACATTATAATGGGAGTACGATGGAGACCCTTCTGACATTGGGACAAATCTAATGTAGAGATTTTAAAGGATAGTTGCTGAAAGGAACACTCCAAGCACCATAACAACTTCACATAAATTGTTATAGGATCAGCAGGCCCCTGGCCGCACTCTTATTTTAAGGGCTTATACCGTACTCGAACAAACCTTTTTCAAGCTAGTTTTATAAATGCAGAGTCGCTGATTGGCTGAGAGCCTCAGCCAATGAGCGGTGCCCCTGAAACTGAGAATCAGAAGTCGAATGCCACCTTGGGGACCTGAGGATCGGCACACTTCTCAAACAGTTTAACCCCAATGCACTTTTTAGTGAATATCCCCTCTGTCCATCTGGACCATGTAGTTTCTCAAAGTATTGTAAGCACAGAAAATATTTGGCATTGTATTGTACATAAAAGGGAGTGTTTTCACAGTGTAAACACCCCACATAATTATTTGTTTATACTATTGTTAATATAGTGAAACCTCACCAGTAACATAGATGTGATTGGCTCTTACATATTAGTTGTAACTACAAACATCTACTAAGTATATGATTCAGGAACAGCCGGTTTGCAATGTTTTTATAGTGTGTTTATACAGCAATTTTTAAAGAAAGTTCTTGTTTGAATGGAATCTCATTGGTAATTAATTTTTAACATGTACAGGCCAGGTCATTCACTGTGAGAATTGTTGGGAATTCAAAGTGAATTTTTAATTTTAAGGTTAAAGCAGCAGACATGGAAGCATCGTTGAAATCGTAGAATTTTAACAGTTTGATTTTTTTTGCCCTTAAATGTAAAATTGACTCTGAATTCACTTTAGGTTAAGTGATGTGCGAGGTTACCCTCTAAGTGTGATTATTAAAGGGAATCCAAAGTTGTATTCCTAACACAATAGCACCCTTTGTTCACACCAATGCCTTACAACCCCTCCCTCCCTCAGTGCTGGGTCGGCGCTCCTCGAACATCATCCGATGGGGGGAACTAATGCGCATGTGCAACTAGCGTTGCAAGGACATTAGGCCCTCCCCATAGGAAAGCATTGACTCAGTGCATTCCTATGGGGTTTTCACTGACGCTGGATGTCCACACGCAGAGCGTGAGGACATCAAGCATCATTTTAAATACCCAGGGTCCAGTGAACTCCCTGAAACACCTCTAGTGGCTGTTTGGTAGACAGTCACTTGAGGCTGTAATAGTACTGCAATGTAAACTTTGCAGGACTAGGTGGGACAGGGACACCGCACCCAGACCACTTCACTGAGCTGAAGTGGTCTGGGTGCCTGTAGTGTACCTTTAAACTCAAAGTTGACAGTTTACCTTGGCTGCATCACCGTGATTCCACTCTTGGACAAAGCTTTTCTGTTGGCCATCTGCAGAAGCCACATCTCCTTGTGTGAAAAAAGTCTAATGCTGAACGCTTTCTCTAACAGTTTTCCCACCGATATATGATGGGCTATATTTTTTACGAAGCACTGGATGTCTGTCTGAAGATCCTGAACATCTGAGTCCACATGGATCCTGTACTGTTTTAGCAGGGCTAACGCAACCCGGTAGAGAACCTTGTTGCCCTCAAGAAGAAAAACATCAAAGACTCTTATTACATAATCAAAGGGTAAATCTCCAAATATCCACATCAACCAATCTGAGAAGATATCAATTGCATTTTCTGCATGGGAAGTGATGAATTTATGTCCTGCTTGGCAATATTTTTTGCTTAGATCACCAAAGGTCATGCAGGAGGCCTCATAGGCCAAGTAGCTTTGGTCAATGTAGCACTTGTGAGTCTCAATGCATGAGATGAGTCGGCAAGCTCTCTCAAAGCACTCTGCCTCGTCCTCGCTGAAATGCAGCAGTAGGGATACCACTGCAGGTAAAGAAGGACTGTAAGTAATATCTGGATATTGGTTTCCAATGCATATTAGTATCTTCTTCACAGCAGTTTCCCCTCGTGCATTGAGGCAATAGACAGGCATCAGGCAACCTTCTAGGAAATCAGGCATGGGGTGATCATGTACACCTCCATGGGCAAATAGGCGCTCAGATACATCATGATAGACAGTGGCATCTGGTGTAAATAAACGACATCTGATGCTTTTAATTATTTGGTTGTAGGCCTCAGCGCGTAGGCTTCTTTTGTTGGCCCACTGTCCTTCCCTGGCCATCCGTTTAAGTTCCTTCACAGACTGGGGAATCTCCACAGATAATGTACAACGGTCTTCATTCAAAGTGGGGTAACGGTCCCAGTCCACAAAGTGGCCACAGTCGGCATATGAGGTGGCATTGATATCCAAATCGTCTTCTTCTTCTGGGACGATAATTAATGGAAGGTCAGAAGACATCTCTGTAAATAACAGATAGAGAAAATTGAATGTTTATATCAGTTACGAGATGTTTACACTGGATGTCTAACACGCACAATAGTATGTTGTTCCTATTGATGACAGCATTATAGTGAATTTAGGCTTTTCATAAAACCCAGCTTAGTTAAATTGGGCATCACGTGAAGACATGTGATGTCATAGATACATAAAATATGGAAATTGTTCAGATTTGAGTGTAGAATGACAAAAAACAAACAAGGCTGGCATTTTTAGGGTTTCACTGTGTCCAAACTCACATTTTGTAACACATATGTTAAACACACTTCTATATATAGCATATAGGCTGTATATGTATTAGAATAAAACAGATTCCATTCTTAATCTCCAAAAAGTGTAGATATCATCCTAAAGTACATATTTCTAAAATGATGACTCCCCATTAAGTTTTAAAAATGTCCTCTAATGCTAAGTTATGCTATATGAGGTAGTCTTTAATTTTTGTTAATCAATTACATTTCCAGTTAACTACCTCCAATAGTAATTTCACATTCCACTTTTTCTCTCACAGACAAAATCAGACAAAGTAACATTATGTCATCAGTCCTGAATATATATTGTATATCCACATACAATAGTATTTATGGTTAAAGGAACACTATAGTCACCTAAATTGTTTTAGTTAAATAAAGCAGTTTTAGTGTATAGATCATTCCCCTGCAATTTCACTGCTCAATTCACTGTCATTTAGGAGTTAAATCACTTTGTTTCTGTTTATGCAGCCCTAGCCACACCTCCCCTGGCTATGTTTGACAGAGCCTGCATTAAAAAAAAAACAGGTTTCACTTTCAAACAGATGTAATTTACCTTAAATAATTGTATCTCACTCTCTAAATTGAACTTTAATCACACACATGAGGCTCTTGCAGGGTCTAGCAAGATATTAACATAGCAGGGGATAAGAAAATCTTAATTAAACAGAACTTGCAATAAAGAAAGCCTAAACAGGGCTCTCTTTACAGGAAGTGTTTATGGAAGGCTGTGCAAGTCACATGCAGGGAGGTGTGACTAGGGTTCATAAACAAAGGATTTAACTCCTAAATGGCAGAGGATTGAGCAGTGAGGCTGCAGGGGCATGTTCTATACACCAAAACTGCTTCATTAAGCTAAAGTTGTTCAGGTGACTATAGTGTCCCTTTAATACAGCATTGATGTTCTTAGTCAGGGTCTGACAGGGATTGATATAAATTGTTCATCACCTTTTCTGTAGCTCCAAAACTCCACATGATCAAAAAAACTAATCATTTGGACTTAACGCCAATGTGATTGTATCTCTATTAAAGGGTTATCCCCAACCAAAAAAAAAGAAATGATTTGGTCAGAATAATGCTTTCTTATCTGGTCCCACACTAAATAAAGAGAAAGAAAATAGTTAAATCTCCTTTGTTTCAAGGCTGAGGCCAAGTTCTCTTTCAGCCTGATCCACATCTGCTGACAACACTCCGTTTGAAGGGATTTCAGGAAGGGCTGGCTAAAGGGAAGGACATGGACAGCACGAGGGGGTGTACCACCATTAGATTTCTATAGCCAGCATGCACCACGCACATTTAGAGTTAGGTGAAGGAAGGTATAGCCCTTTGTAGAGTGAAAGTGAAAGAACTGCACCCATTTGAGAAAACAACATGCTCATCCTGGCTGGATGAGTGTAGTGAAAGTGACAGTCCTTTTTCTCTTAACTCAACTTCATGTTACTTAATAACACATCAGACTAGATAGGTAGGTAGATTGCCATGCCAACATAGACCGTATATGGTTTACATTTTGTCTTTAACAGGTTACGGATGTAGCTGTGCTTTGGAGTGATTGATAATACATACCGTATTATCAATCACGCCAAAGCACAGCAACACCCGTAACCTGTTAAAGACGCAATGTAAAACCGTAATAGTCACGCTGTTTATTGTGCTGGGGGCTACAGGGTGTGATTCTCTATGCAAATAAACAATACAAGCGAACAGACACTGCTAGCGTCATCATAAACCGAATCAAAATGTCACTATAAGGCTTTGCTCAATACAAGCCACGTGACATTGTTTATTTTCTCTAGTAATTCTAAATCTGCCCTGCTTTATTTTTCTATTGATGTAATAATAATGATAATAAATAATGCTGGCTTGGTTCTACATTTGCTCTGTAGCTCGCATTCCCTATTTATTTTGTCAAGTATAATGTATTATTGTAATAGGGGTATAATAAAGTCTTGATAATTTGTTTAACTCCAACAGGTCCTTCCAGTTACTAAAAGCATTAATAATAACTTAAAAACAGAAAGTTAAATCATCTTACAGTTTCCTAAACTCTATAGGGGTTCTGTAGAAAAAAATAAAAAAGTGGAATATTCAGCATTCCATTGGTTTCCACTGTGATTGCACACCTTTGCACTGAATGTTTGTTTTTCCAGTTACAATTTACATGGAGCTATATAACACCCCCTCTACTATATATTTTTTATTTTAATATGATACATTAAAGGGACTCTATAGGCTCCAGAACAACTTTAATTTAATGAAGTAGTTTTGGTGTATAAATCATGCCCCTGCAGTCTTACTGCTCAATTATCTGCCATGTAGGAGTTAAATTACTTTGTTTATGCAGCCCTAGTCACACCTCCCTGCATGTGCCTTGCACAGCCTTCCATAAACACTTCCTGTAAAGAGAGATTTAATGTTTAAGCTTCCTTTAATGCAAATTCTATTTATTCTAAATCTAAAATTTCTTATCTCCTGCTCTGTTAATGGCCGTATAGACCCTGCAAGAGCCTCCTGTGTGTGAATAAAGTTCAATTTACAGTGCAGGAAATAAAAGCTTATAATGCAAGTTAACATTTGATTGAAAATTAACCAATTTTTTCCATGCAGGCTGTGCGAGTCACAGCGAGGGGAGGTGTGGCTAGGGCTGTGTAAACAGATATAAAAGTAATGTAAATTCTAAGTGGCAGAGAATTAAGCAGAGAGACTACAGGAGCATGATCTATAAATCAAAACGTCTTCACAAGGCTAAAGTTGTTCTTGTGCAGTGCCTATAGTATCCCTTTAATAATTCTTTGATATTCAGGTATGTCTCTGAGAATATATACAATAACATAATTATCAAGAGCTAGTTTCTACATGTGCTGAGTTAAGTAATGTGTACGGGGAAAAGCATTGCTAAATGGACCTTGAAAATGCTTAAAACTGATGTTGACATGTAATACACCAAATTTCGCAATTAACAGTAAAATGAGCAAATAGTTGTCACTTGCGGTAGTATTTTTGTATTATCTCAAAACTAGGTCATATTTATTCCAACATCATTAGACCAATTAGACCAATGAGACAGTTAATATTAAAGTTGAATTCTGAGCAGGATATAGATGGGTAGATTGGCAAATGGGGTGCCGATATTACTAAAGGGACACTATAGTCACCTAGACCACTTCAGCTCAATGAAGTGGTCTGGGTGCCAGGTCCCTCAGGTTTTAACCCTTCAGATGCAAACATAGCAGCTATGTTTACATTTGGGGTTAATCCAGCCTCTAGTGGCTGTCTTCCGGACAGCCACTAGAGGCGCATCTGCGACGCTGGAGGCACATTTCGCCTCCATCACGCAGAGAGTCCATAGGAAAGCATTCGGCTCCGCTGACATCGGACGGGGAGGAGAGGTCACCAGCGCCAAGGGAGCCCGGCGCAGGATTAAGGTAAGTGGCTGAAGGGGTTTTAACCCTGAGTGTGGGGGTCCCCCAAGGATTATATAGTGTCAGGAAAACCGCTTTGTTTTCCTGACACTATAATGATCCTTTAAGGTGAAAGGATGGAGCAAAATGTAAGGAGAGGTCAGAGTTTCAAAGAGACGAAGACTTCATGCAAAGAAAGCAACACAAAATTGGAGAGAGGTAGCGAAAAAAAAAATGATTTACAGAATGGAATGAAAGACAAAATTCTAAACTTTAAAATAAAAAATAAAAATTTACTTTCATTTGTAATCAGAATGTCATATTTCCCGTCTATGGGTAGAATTAAGGAGATCCAGGTTTTTTGTTATTCACTAGTAGTATATCTGCTCAAAGGAAGCCTTGTTATTTTATTAATAGCAGGATCATGTTTCGACAGCAGAAGCTGAATTTCATGTATCTAAAAAGTAGATAAGTTTGAAGCTCCGATTGATGGAGCTCTGTATAGAGGTTATAGACACAGTGGGTTTTTCACTAAAATATGAATTGTCTTTAAAACAGATTTCACATTTAATGACTACTAACCCTAGCTGTATATTTACTAGGACCGAGGGCTCTTTTAAAAAAAATTTTGATTTATTTTTTAAAGTGTTTTTGATTTTAAAAAAATTAAAAAAAAAAATTATTATTTTATTCCCGGATCAAAGCAGAGATTCATCATTAAAAAAAAAAAAAAAAAAAAAGACGAATATAATGACTTCCAACACTCCACCTATTATATTTACAGTTTAGTTTTCACGTTGCATTGGTTCCTTTATTAATGTCACAAAAGATAGTATGACAAAGTAACCAAAATATCTTGTTTTATAACTAAAGCTGAGTGCCACATTTAGTGCCGAATAGTTCTGTAAAAATTGGAGTTATGTTTAACAATCAAAAAAACGTAAGCAAAGAACTGGCACCTACATTAACCCTCTAATGGCCATTGGAGTAACTAAATAACCTACATTTGTTTAAAAATACATAGGGATTTGGGAAGAGCGCAGGTAACTTTTGTTTTTACTGTATGTATTGGGGCTGATGTGTACTACGGTTGTTGCTGCCGCCCAAGAGTAATGGGAGTTTGAGCGCAGGACTTGTTTTTTTGTATTTGTAAAGAACTGGCACATATAACTGGCTTCCATGGCATTTGCTTTTATATAGAACCTACACTGTTATTTGTGTAAAGTGATACTGTATTCCCATACAAGGGAGGTAAAAACAGAATCCCATTAGTAATATAAACAAGTACTTTTCTCACCTTGATTAGTGCCTGATGAGTCCTGTCCGGTTGTGCTCTCTTTTGGACCCAGTGATGTACTGGTGAAATGTCTTTCTTTAAGCACGTTTATGTTATAAAGCACAGCTTGCTTGTAACCCATCTCCACCCCTGTGGGTACCAGTCCAGCCCACATTCAGCCCACACCTGACTAAATGGGCCAACGAGAATTCCTGTTTTGTGTTTGTTATTATTGAGATGTGATGTTAGATAAAAACAGGGAGGGCTCTTTGTCTTTGTGTTTGGAAGGAGAAATATTATATTTCAAGGACAAAATATGCTCGGTTTGCAATACTTTCCTATTTGAATTTCTTGTAAGTCCTATCAGTGAGAAAAACATAAACAACCTTGTTCGTATTCACCTTCACACACTGTCCTTAAACACCCAACCTTTATAACATTTGTTTTTGAAAGTCTTTCGCACTCATTCAGCCTTTTGAAGCTGACTCAGAAGCATGTGTGTTTTATTTCGCAATATACTTCCGAAAGCAGTTTATGACAGATATTGCACAGTACACATAACAATTGCTTCTGTTATATATAATGCATGGGGTCAATTTGGTATCCATAAAAAAAAAAAAAAAACTATTTCAGTCTTAGGGACCATTTAATTCAATGGATGGTGTCAATTCCAGTTTTGCCCCATCTTGCCTTACACTACAGACTGGAGATCAAACTCTTCATATGTAACACACACCTCCCAAGTGTCCCTAATCGAAGGTACATTCCTTATTTTGGGTCTAAAGTCCACTGTCCCTGTTTTATATCCTGATGTCCCTCTTTTATAGGAGATACATATTGTCGGTCTGTTTGAGCGTATAACAGAAACCCACAGCAATAATACTCTCAGTAATGTGTCTTTAAAATACAATAAATGTGTTTAGAACTCATATTGCGTAAATAAGAAACCCTGATCTGGTTCTAAATTACATTTTAGTTGTATAAACTGCACTTACGTACATACTTAGTATGTCAATTACTGTTCCACTCCTGACTACACTCCCATGCACACCCCTAAAATAAAAGTGTCCCTCTTTGTCCATTTGAAAAGTTAAAAGGAATGGTAATGAGCAATATTGACAAGGCAAAATACGGGCCGCCATCATGAGGGTACACCACTTACACTTGTATGGAGCCCGGCCGTGCTTTATATCTCCCTGTTGGGTACCAAACCGTACTCCGGGCAGAAAGAACCCCTTACAAGTACAAATACAGCCTTTATTTCATTTCGAGCACTTCTGCAATGAGAGGAAGTAATGTCTGTTCACCTCCTCCAGGCACTCAAAAGAAGCCGTGCGGGAGGAGAGGAAAAGCCCTCCTCAACACACCTTAGAGCCAGATACCCGCTGGACCACAGGGAATCCACCTTTCTGGCAAAAGGTAGGCAAAGAGGAGGGTACCCAAAACATCTTACATTTCTGTGTGTTTCTGTCTTTGCATGTGTGTGTCATTGTGTGCTTGTATGTTTGTGTATGGCTGTCACAATGTGTGTGTATGTTTGTTAGTGTGTGTTGTTGTGTGGTAGCGTGTATTGGTATCTTTGTGTGTCTGGTACACAGTATCCCCTGTGTGTATGTCTGTCTGTAAGTTTGTTTCTGGATATGTGTGTTTATCTGTGAGTGTGTCTGGAATGTATATATGTGTGTGTGCATGTTATATATGTGTCGGGGTGCAATTATTCGACTATGCGTGTATGGTTGAATTGGTAAGGTCTCAACCCCAAGGACTCCAAGTGTGCTGATGGCAGTCCTGAGCAAAAAAAAAAATCATCTACCCAAGACACATTCATTATTGTGACCTTTTATCGGCATAATATTGTGCTTCACCCAAGAGGATGTCTATAATTTTGAGTTAACAGTTAGCATGTCTTGCTTCAGGAAAATGGGCAAAGAGATGGGCTCTGTCAATAACAGGAGTCAATGTGCAATAATGTTTAAACAGACCGAGGCAGATCGGAGAGGAAACAACATGTAACAAGTGCACACAAAATACATCTCTAATCTCTCAGTACATCAGGCCCAGAGGAGGCGGGCTGAAAGCTAGCCGGATAGGAGGCATGTGTGGGTGTGGTGGGTGTGGTAGAGATATGGGGGTGTGATTTAGCTTAGGAGTAGGGTGGGGTCAAATAAATAGGTGACATTTTGTCTGTTACCTCAGCCATCTTAAATCTAACGGCGAGGTAACTAGTCCCCTGTGCTACTTTAGTTACTCTTTGCTTACCCTACGGCCAGGAGCATGGATATAGATGGGATCCTTGCTGCCCTTAGGGCTGAGGCCCTCCAAGACGGTGGCAGGCACCTGCAGGCCCAGCTGGCAAGGCTGCAGGGTGCCTCCATGGTAGCTGCTCCCCCTCCCGGCAGCCATGGAGCTCCGCGCTGCCGGGCGCGTCCCCCCACCCGTTATAGCCCCTCACAGGAGGGCCGGGTGGGGGTCAGAAGCAGGAGCCCAGCTGCCGGTCCGCGGGCCGGTTCCCACGCGGCCGCGGCCGGCACTGACACCAGGCATCCTCCTGCCTCCTCCCTGAGCCACTCGCGTGAGGGCCGGGTGGGGGACGGGAGTGGGAGCCCCAGTGCCAGCACGCGTGCCAGGTCTCATGCGGCCGCGGCCGGCACTTCACATCACCCCCTCACCTCCTCCCCGAGGCGGTCCCGCAGTGCCCGGCTGGCGGCCGCTGCTCGGGGAGGTGATGGCCGTCCGCTGCCTCCCTCCAACATCTCGCGCGCCCTCAGAAGGGCGGCCCCCCCCCCTTCTCCTACTCCCCTCTCTGTCTCCCCTGGGCCTGCCTATGCCGCACTCCCATCACCCTCATCCGTCCTTCCTACCCCCCTGCATCCTTTTTCACCTCCTCTACCTTTATCTAGGACCCATGCTGTCCCCTCTGCGCCTACCTCTGTCCTGGCTGTCCCTCTCTCTGGTCCCTCTGTTACATCCACAAATCTGGCAGGGTTGCCCCCCCCTACTGTGCTTCCCCCAGCACCTGGGGTGGGTGGGCAGGGTTTTTTCTCACCTGTCCTGTCTTCACAGATTCCTCCTGGTCAGCTCGCGAATCGGTTTCCTGACGCTGTGTCTGGTACGGTGCTTCCGGTCGCAGTTCCCTCGGGGCCGTCGTAGGCTACTGCGCAAGTTGCGGTTCCGCTGCTACCCTCGAATTCGGCTCCTGCCGGTGAGTATTCTGCTTTCGCCGGATTAGATTCGGGGGGCGTGGGCGCACGCGAGTCGCATGAGTGGGGTTCGGTGCTCCAAGCTATCAAGAATGTTCTTATAACTCTTGAGCGGGGACCTCACCCTGGGGCCCCTCCCCCAGTGGCCGTGGATAGCCAACTTCGGGCGGGCTGGGCTAGTTCCGCAGGGTGTGATTTTGCGGCGGTTTCAGCGCCAGTACCCGACACTTCTTTACAGGTCACCACCCCTCTGGCCTCGGCGCCACCGCTAGTGACACCTGAGTCCTCTGCGAGTGCTACTGGGAACGCCGCGGTTGTTTCGGGTCATGGGGTAGCACCCGCTGCGCATGGGGCAGCTTACATGTGCTGGTCAGGCCCCCTGGGCCTCCACCTGACGCCTGAGTTGAGGGCTAAAGTAGAAAAAGGGGAATTCATAGAAATTTTTTCCCTCCTCCCTTTGGAAGATCTTCCTCGGGTGGATGCGGATGCTAAGGAGTCTGAAAAAGACAAAGAGAAGTTTCGGTATCGGAAGATTCCGAAAACTTTTGGTAACTGGATTAGGGCCTTTTCTATCCTGGCTAGCGTGATAGGTGAAAAGTCTCCCAGCAAATGCTCTTCCCTGTTTTGCTACCAGGACATGATATGGAACGCTTGTCGGGTTTACGGCGGGTTAGGGTGGTGGCGGTATGATGAACAGTTCCGCCAACGGTTGGCGGTTCGCCCTTCCACGAGTTGGGATCAAATGGATATCGGCTTGTGGTTGGCCATCATGACCCGCCCAGCTTCACATCAAGGGGGCCTTTCGTCCTTTCTTGGGGGGGCCGGCGCTGTGTCCTCATCTTCAGCGTCGGCCAGTCAGCGGAAGACTGGGTTCTGTTGGCAATATAATGACGGCCAATGTAAGTTCGGTTCAGCCTGCCGCTTCAAGCATGAATGTTCCGGGTGCGGCGGTTCCCACCCAGCATCAAAATGCTTCAAACGTGGCAAGACTGGCGACAAAGGAGATGCCATGGGCGCTAAGGGCGAGGACGCCAGTGGACGTCGATGCGATGCGCCCTTGGCTAAAGCGTTATAGCAATAAGAAGGCGGCTGCCTTATTATTGGAGGGTTTTGGGCAAGGGTTTTGGATCCCTCACCGGGCCCGGCAGGTCTCCGGTTTCTGCCGGAACCTGAGATCAGTGGCCGATCATCCGGGTGTGGTCAGGGAAAAATTGGCTAAAGAAGTAGCCTTGGGTCGTATGGCGGGCCCCTTTCGGGAACCTCCACTCACCGATTTGAGGGTTTCACCACTAGGTGTGGTGCCTAAAAGGGAACCAGGCAAATTTAGGCTGATTCACCATTTATTGCACCCACAGGGGGGCTCGGTGAATGATGACATTGCCGCTGAATTGTGCCGCGTTTCCTACGCGTCCTTTGACGCGGCGGTGGATATGGTCAGGGCTGCTGGCCCCGGGGCACTTATGGCAAAAACTGACATTGAGTCGGCTTTTCGCCTCCTACCGGTTCACCCGGAGTGTCACCACCTCCTGGGTTGTATATTCGAAGGTCATTATTATGTGGATATGTGCCTCCCAATGGGTTGTGCGATATCCTGTTTTTATTTCGAATGTTTCAGTTCCTTCATGGAATGGGTAGTTAGAGCGGAATCCGGTTACGATTCCTTGCTTCACTACCTAAACGATTTTTTATGCGTTGGCCCTGCGCGCTCCCCAATATGCGCGCAACTTCTGCAAGCAGTGGCGGATGTTGCTTGCGAGTTCGGAGTGCCGCTGGCGCCAGACAAAACAATTGGCCCTTCCACGTGCCTGTGCTTTCTCGGGATCGAGATTGATTCCGTTGTTGGGGAATGTCGGCTTCCATTGGATAAATTGTCTGATCTTCGGGAGGTGGTGCGAGTGGCGAGCGCTTTGCGAAAGATTACGTTGCAACGACTTCAATCCCT